TTCAGATGTCCGGGGTACCGGTATGTTTGCCTTGACCTGTTTCTAAGCCTTTGAGCTCACAGCCTAGGCCGGCAGGCAGGCAGGCAGGCAGGCAGGCTCCTACAGTTCATCAAGTGTCCCGAGCTCCAATATTGGTTTTGGAGACATCCTGCAATCTGCAGCACTTCTCTCGAGGACAACTGGCTGCGTGTGTACATGATGACGACGAAACCCGGGCCAGTCCAGTATCTTGGATCTAGCATGTTTGGCATTGTGAGGAGCGTGCTGTTTTTTGGTTTTCAGTTTCTAGGTTGTGACGTTCAATTTCATTTTGGCTTCAGTTGTGTCATGAACCCTCCTTGGAAAAGGCAGGAGCTCCCACAAACCATGAACCCGCTCTGAGAAAACAAACAAGTTTGAGGTACCTAGCCAGCTGCCATTGGATTCTGGGCCAATTCACTCCGGCTCCAAGTAGCATTCATGCGCCTCGGTCAGTGGGTGGGAAAGTGCATCATGTATATAGGTGCGTTGAAAGACTCCCAAGCCTGAAGCGCACACGCCAAAGGATTGGGGCATTTGAGGAACTAATAACTACTGCAATACTGTATATACACATTATGTTTGTTTGTTTTTTCTCTCTCTCTCTCTCTCTCTTTGCATTTTTCTACGCATGTAACATATATATATATATATATATATCTATAATGTATATATATAAATATATATGTGTGTGTTTGCTGATTGGTTAAACAAGGTGTCCAAACATGTCGATCCTCCCTGGATCCATGGCCGTTTGCGAGGCTAAGTGTTCATGGGCTGGGGAAGATTCAATCCAATGAAACCTTGCGCCTTACTGTACAGTTATCGAAGGTTTTTCCGTGGCAAATCCTAGGCATACTTCCTGACAGCATTAGAATATGGATTTCTCCCAGCGTGGCTGGAAGGTGATGCCAAAACCCAGGTGCAACCCGACTATGGCTCCACATGTCCGAATTCATCGAATTCCTAGATGAGACCGTCTGTTCAACAGGCTGCTTGAAGTTCCAGCCAGACACGCGCGCCAAACCCTTGGCGTTTGAGGCGACAAACACCCCAGAACGGTCCTACAATGTCTTCGTGATCTTCTTCTCCTTGCTGGTGGTTGGCAGTGACCTCAGAGGGGAACAGAGAGTCTGGTCATTTGCCAGCCATGACTCGAAGGGAGCTCTCCAAATGGAAGGGCCCGTCCTTGGGCTATGCCATCTATATAGCCTGGTATTGTAAAGGTGATGAGGCAATTCACTCCAAACGAGACATACATGTTTGACTGGCACTTTCTGCAACTCCAACTCCGATCGACTTCAACCAACATATAAATTCTGCCCTCTGATCCAGCTGCCCACTGAACGAATTGGCACATCTGACAGCCAGGCACCTGGCCAATCAGAAGCATGAGCACTCGAGTAAGACTCGAGTGGTCACCGAATCGGATTCATCGGGCGACCATGTGGATTTTGATGCTCACCCAAGCTCCTTTCTCCGACGGAGATCACCGATCGCCATCACAAAGAAGCACCCAATTGATCCGTTTCTGTGTTCAATTCGCTTGAGACATGTCCTTCAGCATGGTGACGGGGGATGACTGTTTTGGGCCTCCATAGCCATAGCAATCCCAAAATCTTTAGCCACGGGCTGGACATCCTCTCGTTCTTTCAGGAGACCACTAGATTTTTGACCTAAAGCCTCCAATCTTTCAAGTTGGTGTTAGCTTGGGTCGAGGCAGCTGCATCAGCCGTGTCTCTGCCACCATCCAGCAAGTCATCAAGCTGAACAGCGAGGCCGATGCTAGTGTCAAGACACTCGAAGAATCGAGTGTCAACCAACTTGAATCCTTTACGGTCATCATCGTGCAGAATTGTGTCGCAGAAACTCGACGATTTCCTGACCAGGTCAGTGACCGTAAACGGTCGGTGGCGATGTACTTGAAGATGAACAAGAGCCTTGGTGGGGAAGGAACCTGCAACACAACAGCGGGAGAGAGAGAGAGAGAGGCGTGTTTGATCCTGATGAACTCGTTGCTCGGAAAGCACCGAGTTACGGCGTCTCTTGCACTGATCCCTTTTTACACATATTGAGGCGCGAAGGAAGAAGAACATATACCAGATACATTAATGTACCAATGGGTTGGGTGTCGTCTTCGTCTTCCCTTCTTACTCCCCTGCAGATTGGAACCCCAAACCCACTCGGTTGTGTCTCACGGTTCAGTTCTCAGGTTAGTGGGGAAAAAAACATGTCTTGCTTGATGGGTTCCACATTTTTTCTGGGCAACGCCAACGAAAACTGCCGCAGCCGGCGAGGCTGCATTCTTCCGCCCAGGTAGGGACCACACAAAACAAGAGAGTAACCAGTGTGCCTTTTGCTCATAGCAGTTTTTCGGGAACCATGAGGAACTATTCACGGCTCCCATCAGCTGACTCTTTAAGGATCAGCACGCACCTCTGCATCCGGGTTCTCCGCTTCGTGGACCACAGCCTCACACGGCACAAGGTGCGGTTTTGGGGCAGACGCCGCGGCACGTACTGCGCGGTACATGGATCATGAGGCGTTGTTTTCATCGGAATGCTTGGCTGGTGTCCTCCCCATCGAGAAACACATCAGCTAGACATGTCGGCCGCGGGGCCGGCGGGGCCATCGGGCCACGAGGTGTGCCCTCGAGGTGTGGCGCCAGCTGCCAAGAAGTGAAGACACAGACCAAACAATCTTTGGAGTGTCCGGTTTCTTTGGAGTGTTGGGGCATTAGCCGCACCATACGACCGCTGCGAAACGCTGCGGTTCGCCGTCCGGTCGTGTTGTTTCGACGCGAGTGACAGCACGACGAACCTGGAAGCAAGGCGGCACCCTTGGATACGACGCTTCTCTCGCAGAACTTGATCAACGAGCTGCTGGGATGCAGAGATATGCAGAGCTAGTGCAGCTAGTGAAAGGGCTGTCCGGAATGAAGGTTGAAACTGAGCTGGCTTTTTGCTCGTTGGCTTTCTGCTCTTGCTGGGCTTTTTCCCGGTCGAGGTTGTTTGGACCCAGAAAATCTTTGATCGACCATGTTCTGGTGCACTTGATGTCTCAGAAATTCTTTGCTCTCAGACCGACATGGGCTGTACTTTCGGGGCCTACGGATGCTGACGGTAGGAGTGTACATGCTGAATCAAAAGAGCGGCAGATATTCGCATTGCTGTATGGCGTGCAGGTCAAGAAAGTGCCCAATCAGTGCCCTGGGAAAAACAAGAACCTGTTGCTCAGCACATGTGCCACCTCACCTACTTCAAGATTCAAGATTGTGTTTCGCTTCATTCCTCCACCAACCGCCGCAAGGAAAGCGGACGTCCGCTTTCTGAAAAGCCAGGTCTACAGGTCCTTCGTTGATATGTTTCCACTCGGCCACCATGGGTCACTGACCTTGCCCCTTCAAAGGGAACGATCCTCTTTCCATGATAAGTGTGCCTCCCCTCCCTGCTTTTGAACCAGAAACTGCCTGAACACGGGCTGACTCTTGCTCTCCCGGACCCAAACGTTGGCCTGAAGTGAGGTATCGGTATGTTGCGGTTTCATGCTAACTTATATCTTCCTCCACCCATGGGTGCGGGTTTCGGAGTGGCTCCCACCAGTCCCAAAGCCCGTCCCCAGCACGGTCCGGGGATGGCTGAGGCTTCACATGGACCGGCGGGGCCCATCCTACGCCGGCATGGCATGTGCGCCACAAGAGCAGATGTGGCCCTTGACGATCAGGGTGTGTACAAGGGTCTTTGATGATCCTGCTCTTCCCAGAGCTTCCCACAAGTCTTTCGGGCCTCCCGAAGCCGTCATGTGTCTTCTTTCTGGCTCGTCCAGCCCAAGACAGGACAAGGCATGGAACATCCTAGAACCGCACCACTGCGCCATGCCATGGCTCCCAACCAATGGATTAAGTGGTGTATATATATATATATAATCCCAAAAAATCGATCGTGATCCTCAAATTGACACTCTTTTAGGCTGACCAAGATGTGAGCCGTGGCCAGACAGCGGTAGCGAAGCGTTGGTACTGGTACCCTCACTTGCGGACGGTCAACATCCCCCGATCTGAGCAGTCACTGGGCGAAATAGGTTGTGCATGGAAATGGTGGTTTCAGTGTCCATGGGGCCAAGGCGGGCCAAACAAAATACGCTGAGTCTTGTCTTTTTGGGTCCCAGGTATGGCTTCTTGGAGTCCATCTCTGCCAAGGCGCTCGTGGGGCCGTGTGGGCTGGAAACGCTCTGAGTTCGCAAACCATCTGTCATCGTTCAACCTAATTCCGGTATATCCGGGGTGGAGGTTGGGACCTGGAAAATCGCAAGTCTCGTCATGTGGAGGTTGAGCCCTTTGGTCTTATTGCTTTGCCAGAGCTCACCCGAATCCAAATACAGGACATGCGCAGATGTGAGATTTTTGTTCTCCTGTCAGGATCAAGCACATTCCACGTTTGATTTCTTCGCCATGGCCAAACAGAAAGCCAGGCGTCGACCCGTGTGTTTATCACAAACCCGCTACCTGGGCTCAAGATGCAAAGCAACAGGAGGGTCCACCAAGCAGCCTTCCTAAGCTAGCTATGACAGCATCAAAGCGTTTGAACATCAACTGGAAAGAGAACCTGACTTGCGTCGACCAAGGTGGATGCCCCATGCTGGATAGCTACCATAGAATTCAGTTGTGTTGCCATAGACGAAGCGTAGGCGTGCTCAGAATATGTTCAATTGAGGCTTAGCATGTATCGTGCAGGCTGACTCTTTGAGGATGGATAAGGTGGGCCCAAGATTTACGAATTCTTAGACTCAAGATTTCCTGTGGAAGGCCGGGTCATCGCTTTGGGTGATCGTTTTGTTGCGATTCTTGGGTGATTCTTGAGATCCTTTTCTGCCGGCCCAGAAAGCAGACTACACAACTGTAGCTGCACAGGTTCTCCACTCCCAACATCTTCTTTTGTTCGCTCATCGTCGATTCGTTCCTTCATTGCCACGTGGATCGGGTCATGGCGGATCTGATGGCCGTCTATAAGAAGAATGTGCCCAGCTCAGAGTGGTACGGGCCAGTGTGGGTGGGTCCTGGTCACCCTTTGGAAGAACTGAGTTCCAAGCAGTCAGTCAATCCGCACCGCACCAACGACGTCTTTTTTGTCCGGACCGCCTTGTGTCCTCCTGACTACTTACCTAGAACCTGATTGACCCCCGTTTTGGCCTTTTCCTATCAAAACAGAGGTCAAAATTCATTCTAGGTGTTATACATATATATATATATATATTGGGCAAATGTTCATTCTGGCTGAGATCACGAGCGGCCAGACTTGGGTGAGTCGAGAACCTGGGTCCAGTGGTGACGTGCCAGCGCTGCCGTTGTACGCACAAGTTGGGTGTCTCAGGCTGTGACATGTGTAGCCAGGCCTGACAGGCAAACAGGAGGGCCACCCACCACCTTCCAAGGCCAATCACCGTCTCTACGCAACATCATCTCAATCACGCGAACTCAATCAACTCAATCGCAAGGCCGGCCAAAACGACATTCAGATTTCTGACCATAGCCATGGCTAGGTCTGTGTACAGGAGACTCGGGTGTTGTCAGCGCGCGCGACGCCTTCCGCCGGAAGTGGCTGGGAGCCAGGCGTGTTTCCGTCGAAGTCGGGAGTCTTTGGCCCAGTTGAAGTCGAAGTCGGAGCCAATTCTGTAGCTGTTTTTTTTGCTGCTCCATGCTGGTCCCCATTTCTTGGCGAGTCTTGGGGTCGGGAATCGTGTGGCAAAAAGCTGTTGCGATGCGTGAGCGCGACCTGTGTTCAAGTGTTTTCAATCTAGGAAGGTCTAGCAACAGTGGCTGCTTGGGTGTTTGGCCACCCTGCCCTGACAGGAGGCGTTCGCTCAAACCGAGTGTTCAGAGTCTTCGTCCGCCAGAGAGGTGGCTTCAGAGATCTCGACCTCCCGCGCGCAGGAAGTGCAGGAGATGCAGAACGCTGAACCCGCACCGGAACTGCCCAACGAGCACGTGGTGGACGAGACAGCGAGCAGCGGGTATTTCTCCAACTCGACCAGCTCGGCAAGTGAGGCCAGCGATCCTCGCTTTTGGATTCGACCAAGTCGAAGTGATGGTAGTGCAGCATCGGTGGCCAGCTCAGAGTTCCGCCGCGCTGCAGCAAAGAGCGAAGAGCGAGAAAATCTGCTCTTGAAAGTTCCCCGCTCTGAGGATGGTCGTCCCACCTCAATGGGAAGCGTGAACCATCCACACTCGTGCTTACCCTGCATGTTCTTAGCCAAGCCTTCCGGTTGCATCCGAGGCTTGGAATGTGACTTCTGCCACTTTCCACACCTACGAACGCGGTCCGGCCGAGGCAAGGCTGCGCAGTTTGGCGCAGATCTCTGATCCACTTGCTTTATCTGGCCCTTTTTCAAGAGCGGCACACACACGGATCGCGATCAAAAAGCTGGCGCGAGTGAGAGAAGGGGGAATGCGTGACCAGTACTGTATGTGTGTACTTGGAAGCAGCTCACCAAAGTCAAAAAGGGGTAGGATGATGTGTGATTAGTGACTGATTAGTGTATAATAGTGTATAGGATTCGATCCATTGTATAGAACTGAGCAAGGTGGAGCAAGCAAGGTCCAGTGGCTCGCAAGGGCGTTGTGCAATCATGCTTGGTGTATGTTTGACCAAGTGCTAAGTGCAATGTTGGCGGAAGATGCAACACCTTGTTTGGCTTGGGGTGCCCGCAACGTCAACCGTATTTTCTCGATGCAGACAAGTTACAGGCCCCTAGCCGCCCTAGCAAACGCCCATGTTTAACCGCCCATGTTTAACAGTCAGTTTCAACCCCGTTTTCCGCCGTCGAAGGTCTGGTTAGTTCAAACTGGATCTCGCAGTGGAAGACGCCGAATTGCTGCGAGTCACAATGCAGTTTGAGAGGATGGGCAAGGGTCCAGCCGGGGCACCGACCGGACTCAAGGCCCCCTATGTGATTTGGACCATCGTGGCTCTGCTTTGTGCTTTGGTCTTCCTGCCACTTGGACAAGACGGACGGCTGCCTAGGGTCGGACGAGCTGCACACCACCGGGTTCGGGAACCCGCCGAAAAGCCACCAGGTATATAAGCCCAGAGTTCAAGCAAACTTGGATGGGTCATATAAGCATGTTCATGCGTTTGGGGTGCCTTTTCTTGGTGACTATCATTGGCCAGAATTATGCACAATTCATCAACAGGTGGCACCCTGGGTTTTGCTTGTGCTCCACCAAGGAAAGCTATTGTCCACCTGTGCTAGAAGCCACAGTCACCACACCATTGTGTGGGTATGTGTGGGTGGATTGCCAAGTGCTGAAAACGGAGAAACATATTGTTGAACATCCACCAGCGGGTTGGCCTTTCACACGCTGCTGCCTCAGGGGGCTGCTAGGATCAGGTCCTCCCCGTCCCCCAGGTTCTTCACCAAAGGTCTTCTCGGGTGTTTCGCCCGAGGTTTTCCAGATCTCCCTCTGCGAGCGAAAAGAAGTCGAAGCAAGGGACGCGGCCTACAGCCTTTGGGCGCAAAGTGTTTCCTGCAAAGCCATGCCATGTCTATTGCTCAATTCAGAGTGAATGGAGAAACCCGTGCGTGAAAGTCAGGCGCTTCTCTCCTGTGGTTGTGACCCCATGTTGTTCACTGCTTCACCTTTGTTGTCCAGTATGCCGCTTCATGAGAGGCTAGCCGGGTGTACATCCAGCACGGTGACGAAGGTGTTAGGTCGAACTGGAAGGAGTCTCCATCTTACCGCTCTTCAACTGGAAATGGCCAATCTATCGCGTGTGGACTGAGGTTTGCGTGCCCTGTGCAAACAGGGTTTGACTGCAAACTCTGGAAAAGATGGAAAAGTGCATACAAAGATGTGCAGCTTTAGAAGGTCCTTGGGTTGGGATGTGGTTCTTCTCGCCGAGGTGAGCCTTTGTTTGGATGGCCTCCTACTGGGCACCTCCGCGGAGCCGGCTGTCGCGCTGAGCGCCTTCTTGGCGCTTTGCAGCTTGGGTTTGGCAAGTGAGTGAAAAGGGGGGCAAGATGACACTCCAGTGGTTGACTTGGGGTGTGTGTTTTAGTATGTTTTGGTATGTTGTTTTTTGTGTTTTCTTTAGTTGCCCAAGTGTTGATCAAGAGTTTCAGGTATCTTCTCGCCAGCTTCACACTACTTCACCCCAAAATGCGACTCCTTCGCTGAGGTCGCGGCTGCGAGGTCTTCACCTTCGCTGCCGAGGCCACCGAGGAGGAGACCCTGGAGCTCCTGAGCTCCGCCGGCGCCTTCGACGCGGGGCTCCAGCCACTGGGCGGATCCTCCGCGTGTGGTGGAGGGGCTTCTCGTGAAGGGCGTTGGAGGGTGGGCTGATGTAGAGGTTTGGAGGGTGTTGGAAGGACTTAGCCAAAAAGATAGGAGATGATACTGTAGGAGAAGCAAAGTCTGCCAAGTCGGGGCGGTGCTTCTTACAGGCTGACACATGGGACTTGGATGGACTTGAGGTGAGGGGGTTGGCACCTGTTGCGGGTGCTTGTGGTTCAGTTGCCCAATCTTGAACGCCAGCTTGGCTCATCGGTGCTCATGCTGCGTCCCTCGCTTCGACACGGGTATGTCCCACTAGGCCTTGTAGAACAGAAATGAACAGAACGGCGTCGCTCCTTGGAGTTTGAGGCGACATCGAGTGATGTTTTCCTCGACCCTGGCTGGGCCGCTTGGTCCAGATGACGAAACCAAGAGGCGGAAGAGACCTTCACCTTGCATAGAGAGTGAGAGGATCAAAAGAAGCAGCGGAAGGTTCTCCCCACAGCTCGTGGGACTCGTGGGTTGCAAGTTGCAACCAGCTTCCCACCTCCTTCGCTGAGGCGTGGCTCGATGGTGAGGCAGCTTCAGCCGCTGCTGCATCTGGAGACCTCTCAGGAGGTGGTCGAGACGTTACAGGGCAAAGTGCCCGAGGTGAGGATGGGATCCAGGACGAGGTTGGCCTCTGGAAGAACCACACGAGGGCCCCAGCATCCACCAGTTGTTCAGGTCCATTTCCATCCTCTTCCCCTTTTGCTTTCGTAGCTGACTGGCTTTTGCCCTACCAGTGTTCCCTCCCTGCGGCGTGTGGGCCGAATTCTAACGCCCAGATGCACAGTTTTCTGAAGCGGTATAGTTGGGACTTTTTTCCCCGCCCCTTTTGATCCCAAAAAGCACTATCCGGCTTCATGCACACGCCTATCCTGTGCAGGTGCGCTTAGTGACGCCCCGCGAGTTGCCAAGCCCTGAGGAGGTCAGAGCCCTGAGCAAGCCCAAAGCGTAGAACGCAGAGGTCATGGATGGTGCGGCGCTCTTAGGGGGTTAGAAAGGATTGAAGGCTGAATAGTTGGAGCAACTTAGTGAAACTTCCTGATTTGGTGAGCCCGCCCTTTGAGGGGATTTCCACCAAAAAAGCTGTTACAGCTGCTGCGGGCTTGCTGTAGGAGATTCCTTTGCAGGTCTCACTAAATTCTGATCATTGCCGGCTCGGGGCCCGGAATGGTAGTCAGTCGTTCCTCTTGGCCTTCAGGGCCTGGAGTTGCCGCCCAAGCAATCAAGTTTAATACAACGTGACAAATCTGCTTCAAGATCTTCAAGCAAACCTTGTTGCTGTAGAGATCTCTTTGGGATATTTTAGTGCTATCAGGCGTCTTTCAGCCAGGGGCTTGGCAGGAACGGCTCCCAACCATTGCCTGCTCTTCGGTCACCCCTCCTGCGCCGCCCATGTGGGGGTTGCACGAGAGAAAAAGACGGCGTGGTCGTGTGAGAGAACTGGCTTGGAACCCCATGTGGCATGTTGAGAACATGTTTCTCAACATGTCGAGACTATGGGCACCCGTGGGAGACTGGACTAGGGCCTAGAAAAGTTGAAGGTGTTCAAGTGGTTTCGAATCCGCAGGTTGACTAGCTAGGCACCACACTTGGGACATGCCATCTGGCCTGAAAGAGTTTGACATGCACAGGATGCTGGCAAAGGCCCTTCATGTGTTATATCCACAGGTTGCACCGTGGCCACTGGTCAGTGGTATCCACACCAGCTAAGGACGGGCTTCGGTGCTTTACGAATGGTTTACCACCTGTTTCTCCAGGGCTTCTTCGTCCCTTGTGGTCAGGGTCCGCCTTACTTTTTCGAGGAAGGGAGCTCTGCAGATTGCTAGAGAGTACCCACCTCAACCTCCGCGCCCTCCCTGGTGCAGATTTGCTGTTTCAGACACCCACTCGGCCGACATGGCAGGCCTTCACACGACTCTGTGGTCTGTTGCAGTTGACGGTCTTCGAGGTGGGAACTGCATCTCCTCCCCTCAACACAGGGAAAACCGTGGAAGCTGTGAGTGTGTGTGTGTGTGTCACACCCGCATCTTTAGGGGTCTTCTCTTACCCCCTTTCCTCTTACTTGTTGCATGATGAATTCGCCAATCAGGCCGTGCAGCATCTATGATCTACTATGATCTACTGCATGCAACGAGGGTATGATCACAGATGGGAAGGGATCAATGAGCGACGTTGAATTAGATCCTTCAAGCGCATCATTATTGCACACATTTATATAGCTTTTTTTTTGGGGGGGAACTTTCTATATAAACTCCCCTGCATGGTTGGACGCCTCCGCACTCTACTTTCGAATTCAATGCCTGCTCGCCTTGGTTTTCATTGGGTCACATTGTCTGCAGACATCTCGAAAGCCACGCGGGGGATCAGACTGCGGCGCGAAGGTCGAACACCGCCGTGCACAGCCTGACGACGGCTCATCACTCACATGCGGCACCCATACCACCGGCAATCCAATCCAACAATCTCACATTGGTCGACCATTGGTAGACACCACCCCACCCCACGCACCATCGATGTCCAAGATCTCACCCACATTGTTCAGCTTGCCTCATCCGCATAACAATCCAGAGGAGCAGGTATCGATTCACAACTACCACCTGCATTATCATTCTGCGATGTCGCTGTCACTCTCCTCGAGAACAGCTCCCCGTTCCTTTCCACTCGGTATGTGGATCTATCCATCCTGTACAACGAACGTTACCAGCAACACCTTGCTCTCCAAACACTTGCTTACCCCAGCTTCCACGGTCACCCAGTCAAACTTGAACCCGTGGAGAAACAATGGTCCAAGGCAGTCTTTTTGGATTGGCCAAGGCAGCAGCCGGCTCAATATTATATACATAGAAGTATATAGGGGAAAAGAAGGGACAAGAATAGTTTAATTTGTGGGTCCAGCAGGCAGCCGAAAATTGGAAAATTAAACATTGCAAAAAAGAATGTGCAAGTGCGAGGGTCAAAATGAGCTTGGCACAGCTGTTGGCGTCCACCCATCTACACAAGCACACGCGCAAGCCGCACGCGCACGCGCACACACACACACACACACTGTTTTGGTCTTTCGCACGCTCGTCGCAGGACCAAGAAGTGGTCTTTGCCAGCTTCACTGAGGGGAGTGGGATGTACATTTTGGGCCCCGGCACCTATCAGGAGCGTGGTTACATGGCTTGGGCATGTGGCCTCAAGAACCGCCGTGCTCACGAGAACGAGCAGCTTAACCTGGTTTTGTGCAGGTGGACGGAAGGAAAGCTTCAACCTAGGACCACCGTGCTCATAGTGTGAGTGCATGGCAAACATGACTGAGTTATTTCGTGTTGTTTGCTTCCCCACAGGGGAACCCTCACTTTGAATCCTCATCCTTACTCAGGAATGTTGCCGCTAGCTGCCGCTAGCTTGTCAGATGTTTCCCTCGAAAGCTTCTCTTTGAGAAAAACAGTGTTTTCCGCCTGCGCACATATCGTGCCCCTTTGTTGGCCTCCAAAGGTCCAGAAACTACGTTTGGAGATGAACAAGGCCAACACTTATCGTGATACAAGCATAATATGGTATAATCAGGTGGAAAGATTGAACTAAGTGAATGAGTTCAGTTGAATGTGTTTTAGGGCTCAGTTTGATGGAACATCGGCTTCTGTGTCCTTTGACCACGCCAGGAGCAGGTGGAGGACGAGGTTCACCGGCTTCACCAGATGGAGCGGGGTGCGGGGGAGGGGGCGGGGGACCCCGGGGGAGCCCAAGAAGTCTCATGAGCCAAAAAGAACCGAAAACCGTCGGGGTCGACGTTGGTCGACGTAGATCCTGTAGATCCTGTAGATTGACCAGCCTGGGATGACTCATGGGATTCAGACGGACATGCAGTGGTCCAAGTGCAGGAAATAAGATGCCCAACATGGATCTCATGAACTCGACCCACCGAGCAGCATTCGCCTGCACCAGGAGCATACCTTTTGGGCCGAGATCGCTTTGCCGCCCGGCTTTGGGGCGTCTTGATGCGTGATGGACTGAAAATAGCGCCCGCAGCTTTACATCAAAAACACAGACCGGCTACACATAGACTCCCAAATATAGAACAGTAGATCCGCACATCTATTTGGGGACCACTATACAGTAGGCCGAGCTGCTGGCAACCAGATGGGTCATGATCACTGGCTCCACACTGCTTGGTTGATGGTACTCGGAGTTCATCACTATATACGGCCATGCATCCACACAATGCACCGATGGTAGTGCTGCATAGGGTGACGATTTTCCTGGGTTTCATGGGCGTTGTTAATTATGTAGGACTCCTTCCTTTGCATGTTTGCAGCACTCTCCCAACATGAACCCCAGCAAGAATGAGTTCGCATAGTTCGATGCTGGTGGCTCACCAGGCCAAGAGGCACTAACCCTTTTGGAACGGATGGAAAGGTACATCAGCTTCCAGCACACCTCGACCGTCGCCTCCATCCAATTCAACGTGCCCTGGCTGCGGGGCCTGGGGCGTGAGGTTCATGCATTTGGCCACACGACTGGGAACTTAACAGGACAAGAGAAACTTTCCTTGGCTCTTGACAGTGGCCCGCAAAACCAGACGTTTTCGAAACAAAACCAGTTCGGAGAAAGGCTCCATGTTGTTTTGAGCTCGTCTTCGAGGGTGGCTTATGATTCTGGTTGTGTTTAATTTCAAGAGGTGTGTATACATGTACCGTATGTGTGTGTGTGTGTGCGCTTTCACCGTTCAAGAATGTTCAAGAAGCTTTTGCCCCAGGCTGTGCATTCACGCCACTTGAAGCCCTTCAGGATACCTTCCTGCTGAAGCCCTCAGCGTTGATCCAGGCGATTCAGGAGAGGTGGACAGCGGGTGGACTGGCGTTTCGTCGGGGGGGGGTGCTTCATGGTGCCACTGGCGTTGCAGTACCCCACCCAAATCTGCCAGGTCCGAGTGGTGATCGAAGGGCCAAAATGGCTTGAAGGAAGCAACAGGCTCCAAAGCCTTTGCGCCCCAAATCTCAGTTTAAATGTAGACTAGATGGTCCATGCAGGCTTGCTGGGTAGCTTGTTTGCACATGGCACACGCGCAGGAGAATCCTGAGAGCTGCAGCTATGTGTATCAGTGTCCTGGCAGGGATGACTTGGAGGCATGCTGGGCGGTACTTTGCCAGGATTCTCTTGGAATGGAATGGACCCCAGAAAGGAGCATTTCTGCAATCATTACCTATAGCCAATAGTGCTCGATGCTTTTCTTGCAAACGGAAGGTAGTAACCTGATGTTCCTTTGTGATGATGTTTCCCACCCTACTGGGACACAATCAGCGTGTATAGCTTTCGGCAGTTGTTCATGCTTCCAACCGCCGGACACCGAGCAAGCGACGTGTTTCAAGGAGCGAGCAACCAGATTCCCCATGACCACTTGCAATGACTAACTTTGCCGGTCTTTTGTTCCTCGGGCGGTGTAGTCACTGGTGCTTCCTCTGTGTTCACATTCACCAGCACTTCTCATCGTCATACCCCGCGAGAAACGGCCGAGCGAAGCGTTCCGGTGTTTCAATCGCCCAGGTATGCGCGGAAGCTCCAGGCGAAGCTGAACTCTGAGGTCGGGTCACCTAAGCAATGTTAGGACGCTATTAGGTGGAGGCCATCGCAAGTAGGTTGGAGGCCATCGCTAGTAACCGCTAGTAACAAGAAGCTACTAGTAACAAAAGTCATAAAGGTGTCAAACATCGCCAGAGTCCATGTCCATGTCACTGCTCTCGGCACGCGCCGCACACCACATCACACCACCCGCTTTTTCTCCAACTCAGAGAAGAAGCGCATTACTAGGTCCATGAAGCTATAGGTATTACATGGTATTATATTATGGTATTACTAGGTCCCACCTACTGTTCTCCTCGTGCTTCGTCTCCCTCGGACCTCGCACCGACCACCGTGGGTCGCCGTGGGCCGACGCCGAGGAGACCCATGCGGCCGAGCACTTGCCCG